ACACACACACACTCCCTGCTTTACACTCAATAATAGGCTTCCTACGACACTAATTGAATTGTGTAACTAAAATCTTTGTGCTAAAAAAATGACGTCCGATGCACGAAGCATCCCGCATTTTCGCAGGGTTGAAGAAAGGGTCACATTGCAAGGGAATGTAATGTAGGCAGCCTACCAGTCCTATCAAGCATCAATGAAAAAATCCGTAACCGATAGGTCACATGGAGATAGCTTTATCAATGTTCCAAAGCTCTCCTTCAACGTATTAATTAATGTGAATCATCTTCCAATGTATATAACTCAAATGAGAAGAAGATATTTGTATAGTATAGGAAAGGAAAGAACTTACTCTCGGCCAACAAAAGACCAAGCAGCCCAACCCTGAGGAACGATAATATTTGACATGGTGGTGTTATAGAAAAGAACCCTAGCATAATCTCTCCATGGTCTTCCCAAGAAAGTTAGTCCTGTTCCAAATACTGCAGAATCTTTAAAAACAAAACCACTTTCATCATTTGGGCTTATTCTTCCTTGTGCTGTAATATACCCTATCAAGCCATCTAAAGCTCCTGCATTTACTGATATTGTACATCTCTGCATATACACAAACAAAAAATTAATACATGATTTATTTCTTTTAAAGAAAAGGACAGTTTCTACCATAATGTAAGTTTTACTTCTTTTAAGAAAATGAAAATGATTACTAATTACTACTTTAATTAGTAACCTTCTTCACACCCACTATCTCTTTTTGTGTGGAAATTGATAGGCTAATGATAATATTAGTTTATATGTACTGACAATGTAATAATTTTTAAGATATCAATTCAATTTAATTGGTTTAGCAAGTTGTTACTGTATTTGTAATGAAGAGTTACATGTTGTTGCAAGAGTTACATGTTGTTGCCGTAGGCGCATATTAGTACATAGAACTTAAACTCTAATAGTGTATAGTCAAATTAAGATAAACTTTACGACAGGAAATCTTAGGGGAGACCCCCCCGCCCCCTCCCAACTAAATAATCACACAACAATGTTGACCTATACAATATGTAATAACAAGTTTGATATGGTAATATGAAAAACAGAATAATAGCTTATTATAACCGATTAAAATAAGTTGAAAAAAAAATGTATATATAACTTTTATTCTAAATAGTAAGAATAAATATTATTTTACCTCATAAATAGATTGACCAGCACCAAAGATGAAATCAACAGCTCCAACAATAGTACAAAGCTTAAAATAATGCCTTCCTTGAACATCCCATAATGTATCTTGCAATCCCAAAAATCCACACCTATAAAATGTGGATTTATCTCCGGATATCATAGCAGCCACTGCTGCTTGCATCGGATAAACATTGCCTTCTGGAGGAAAATTATAAGAATTCTGCATAAAATAAACATAAATTTTATAAAAAAAATAATTAAAATGAAGAAATTGAAGTTTTAAAATTTTTTTTGTCTTACTATAAATGTTATGCTTTTAGCAATTGTATAATCAGCTTCAGAAATGAATGTAGCATCTGTAGCAATTGAATTATGACCATCCCATGTAACGTTTGTTTTTCTTTTTCCTTCTCCTTTGAGATAAATATATGGCTTCTCTCGAGGAATTCTCACTTGTTCCCTGCAATACAAGTGAATGATGATTGAATATTACGACGACAACAACAACTACGCCTATTATATTGGGGTCGGCAAAAAAAAAAAAAGAGCAGCTCAGCATTTCGTATTAACGCATGGTCCGGAAAAAGATCGTATCCTAAGCGGGTGTGATATAGGCAGTCTACCCTAATGCAAGCATTAATGGCTGATTTCACGGCTCGAACAGTGTTCGGGGCAGGACCACACCTTAAGGGGGTGTGATGTAAGTAATCTACCCTAATACAAACATTAGTGATTGATTTCACGATTCAAACCCGTGAACTGCAGGTCACACGAAGACACTTTGATCATTGCTCCAGGGCTATATGAATATTATTTATCCACGTCACTTTATTTAAGTCTGTCTCAATCCAATATTACATAAACTTTAGTTTTTCTAGTATTAGAAATTGTCCACTTTTCTACTCACATACAAATCTCTAAACGGACTAAAAGAATTTTAGTAACAAACATTAGACGTAAAGTAAACGTATTAATATGACTAAAAGAAATCAAAAGAATAAAATGTTAAGTGAAGTGGGAAGAGAATACCTATATTTTCCAGCTTTTATGTAAATACAGATCCATTTTTGGTTATATAGAGGAACAGAATCAATGGCTGATTGAATAGTTGTGAAATTTCCATGACCAGATGGATCAACATACACTGTTGGTAAATTTACTATTTGTTTTTTCCTATGAAAAAGTCTGTGAAATCTTGCATTTCCTTGTTCAACAAAACACATGAAGTAAAGAAAAAGAATTATGAAGAAAAACCATTGAAAAGAAGCCATTTTTAGAAGAAAAAAATGAAGAAGTTTTAGTATGAATAAAAGATGAAGAACAAGTAAAACCCCTACTTGGATTCAACTCTATATAAGGAGTTAAAATTAAAATGGAAATAATGAGTCTAAGTAAAGAAAAATTTTCAACGGGGAAATCATTCAAATGATTTGCAAAATCTGCTCTAATATGTTAAGTAATTTTCTTGAAGAGTTAAACTTGATTTTCTTAAGTAATATTTTTAACTTTTCTTAGAAAAAATTATTTCTTGAGGAAGATTTTGTAAATTTTTAATTTCCATTGATTGATCCTCCGAATGATTTTTGTAATTGAGATTGGAGTCTAACATGGAAAGTGAATGGTGGGGAGGATAGCAAATATGGAAAATAAATTATTTTCTAACAAAAAGCTGGAAAATGAATTTTATAAAATGTAAAAAAAGAATAAAGCGTGTGTGGTTTAAATTAAAAACCAACTTAAAGGCATAGAATCTGCAATTATTTAGAAAGTATGAACGTGAACAATGGTAGTATCTAATCAAGGGAAGTCGCTTTGATTTGATTTTGCTCATGAGATGAGCCATCACTATGATAATTTATTATTTGGTTTCTATGTCCAGTATCAGCTTTGAGGTCCGATTAATCCGAATTTGCATCGTAAAGCCCCACTTCGAGGGTAAACTACTCCTATTAAAGGCCACTTCATATTCAGAGTTCGAACGTAAGATCTCTCGGTAAGGATCGAGGAGTGGTTATCACTCCATTATAACCTTTGCTGATAAACTATCACATTGATAAATTAATACTACATGGCTTTTAAAGAAATTTTCCCTAAATTCTGTACGTGATGTATTACACGTCAAAGAAATTGGATACATTTTGTTTGGTCAACAAACGAAAAAAATGGCACAGTAAAGGGTAGTCCTGCATATTTATCTTTCTTTTAGTTATAAACAATTTAAATCTTCTAACTGTTGCATTAAATAAAAAATTCCGCCAGTCTGTTATAAAGTGATAGTGCTATTGATTTGAGTTTGCACCATTCCATTTGCTTCTTTTGAGAATGAAATTGAGAAAAAAAATCCTCTCAGTAATATTGACCATATAATACTAACATCTCAAATAACTCTTACGTTATATATAACGTACTATTTATTCCTATTAAAGTTTCTTTTTAAAATGTTATTTTGTGCTGGGGCATATAAGAAAATCAAATTTTAGTTTATGTTGAAGTTATTTATCCCAATAGACACAATGGTAATATCGTCTGCAACAACATACTCAGTATTATCCCATGTTGTGGGGTCTGAAGAGGGTAGTATATACACAAACCTTACCCCTACCTTCTAAAGATATACAGACTGTTTTTAATAGATCCTCGGCTCAAGAAAACATAAACACCACATTAGTGAAAATATAGAATCAAAAAGCCATATAAAAGCAACAAAACTAACCTACTACCAACAGAAAGCAAGACTGCATAGTCTGGAAATTGAAGTTTAAAAAGTGAATATGGCACGGAGAATTACTATAACAAAAGGCAAGACAGAGTAATATAGTTCGTGGATTGGACACTTAAATACATAAAATAATATAGACAACCAATCCAAGAGAATTTTAGAGGTTAAAACTTGCTGTTTTAATTGAAAAAATTATGGATGCTGAAACTGGCCAGCCTAAGCAGCAAATTAAGGTTAGTATCACTAACTGAGGCTTTCTTCACAGCACCAATAAGATGCAAACTAGCAAGGATTAGAAAACAAAGTTTTACCAATAAAACCATGAGGGAATTGTAACTTCAAAAAGACAGTTAAAACAATTTAAGTCTGCTCAAATATTGCTAGAAGCAAAATACTAAACCATGCGGTACAACTTTTAAAAAAACAGATAAGCTGAAATCTCAATCTCCAGCAAAATTTCACTTCAAGATAACTAAGTTTGCACTCTAATACTTGATAGGTTCAATAACAGCAAGTTGGGGACCGAGTTTCTCCTCAGCAGCTTTCTCAGCCTTAACCCTAAGTTTAGCCAACTGCTTTCTCCTCTCATATGCTACCTGGGCTCTCTCCTTTCTCTTGTTCTCAAGTTCCTGTAGTAATCATGTTTGCAAGAGAGAAGTAAGCAACTACTCCAGGAACATGGTAATGAATACGGAAACACAGATAACCAACGAAATGAAACCATATTTTCATTAGTAATGCAACTATGTAAACAAGGGCATAAAGTTGATTTAGCAATGTGAAACCTACAACCATCTAAAATTCAAAATAACACGCAGATAGAAGAGTCAAACTTCTGAAAATAGTGACTGCACATTCAAAGGAGGCACAATGACAAGTGTATGGTTTTCATATCTTATAAAAGTGCAAGACAACTTGACATGCTTCTATACTCTCATTATTTAAATAATCAAGGTAGGTCAAATAGAAAGTATAAAGCAAGAAACTTACCTTAATAGTGTCATAATGGTTCCATCCAACCTCTGATGAAAGCTTGCCCAAGAGACAGTATTTATGTCCAGCTTGGAGCCTCAATACCCTATTTACAAAAGAGGGCAAACACTTCAGTGTTAACAGCGAGATTGATATTAAAACAAAGTAAGCATCTGCACAGCCTTGCAACTCACTTGAGAGCATCAGGAATGACCATTCTCTTGATTTTGTCATATGGTGGTGGAACACCCTCATAAACCTTCAAGCGGGCAAGTGCAGCAGCTCCACGCTTAGTCTTGTGGGGAATCATCCTAAAGAAAAATACATAGATCTGATCAGACACAACATAGAGCAGAATTTACACTATCCATTAACAAAGTGCAAAGTTTACCCTAACCATCCAACAAATCAACAAGCAAAACAACAGTTAAGTGTAACAAATAATCAGTGAATCATTAGGACAAATCCAATTTGCAAATTGTACAAATTCTTCATTGACATGCATATCAGATGAAAGGGCTTATATAGCAAGTTTTAAACTACAATCCTAGTAGACTCACAAGTGTTAAAATGGCCATGGAGTGGGCATTATAAGAAACACATTGTTTGTTATAAGTATGAAGTCCTTCGCAAACTAACATCAGATACTCCAATTTATTCTTATACATGCACCAGCTAAATTCTAAAAAATCAGTAAAATAGTCTTGGAAGTAGACGTTATACCAAGCACACTAAGCACTATAAATATGAAGTATTTGGCAAACTACTCAAATTTAATTGTTACACAGAAACCAGCTAAAAAATAGTAAAATACAGCCCACCAAAAATCTACTAAGTTATATCTACCAGTTAAGCATCAAGCCACCAACGATAAATAGTTCATACATCAAACTATAGCAAATCCAAGAACAAAATTTAAGTATTTCAATCTACTAATAGTAATTAATCTCCAACTACTGAAATATTCAGCCTTTTTTACTTTATTTTTATTAATCATCCCTCCATTAAAAAAAAAAGACTGTATATCCCGAACATTCAATCTACCAGAAAAAATGTAATCGGACTATTCATTCCCTAGTTTTTCAATTTTCATTTCATGAACTGTGTATACATGTATGATAACTAAGTACAAGAGAATAACACAGTAAATCTACAAATAACGAATGCACACCTACACACACACACACAGAGTTACAAATACTCATACACACACACAGAGTTACAACTAAATCTACAAAATCAAAAAATAATTCTATCTTAAGCAAAACAACTACTTCAAAACAATCATCAATTAAAACCCAAAGCAAAAATTTTTTTAAAAAAAACTAACCCACGAATGGTACGCCAGAGGATCTTAGAAGGAGCACGAAAGTGAATAGGACCATGAGAAGGCTTAGTATTCATCCTCTTACGAAGAAACCTCAAATACTTCATTTTCTGTCTCACAAGTCCGCCCGATAAACAAATTTCTTCGCACCTAACAACCACAACTCTCTGTCCATTCAACAATTCCTTAGCCAAAATCGAAGCTAATCTGCCCAACATATGGTGGCGAGCGTCAATCACCACCCTCCTTGCGGAGATCCCTGAACCTGACACCATTTTTTTGCTCTCTTTTCTTGCTAAACAGCTGACGGAATAAAAATGGGAAAAGGCTAGGGTTTTTGAAGACGAAGTGATTAGGGTTTCATTATATGGAGGTGAGCTAATGGGTACATGTTTTGGGCTTTTTTTGTATTTGGTCCAGTAGAGCCCGGCTAGTAATGAGGTTTTTGCACACATTAACCAAAATAGCCGCCTGCCCAACAACTTAAATTAAAAATAGTCGGTGGAGGTATAATATATACATAATTTATATTAAATGTGTATGATTGTATATAATTAATATATAATCTATGTATATGGCTAGAAAAATAAACAATAAATATGGCCGGCTATTTATATAAAGATCCCTTATTTTATGCCACTGTTTAAATTAAGTCATCAATTAGATCTGTGAGCAAAATTTATCTGCAAAAATAAAAATTCACTCGACTAATATTAATGATAAAATTTATCTCATTGGACAAATAGGGTTAGAATTGAAAGAGTAATCTAAAAAAAGGTCATACAGTGCAAATAAATTGCTAAGAAATTAAGGGTCGGAGTTTTTGGAGTCATGAAACATGAATTAATGATTATGTCCATTTTTGTACATGATTATTTTTTTTTAGTTTGGTTGACGGACTCCAATCGACCTAAAAATTGGTACATCAATCAAGGCCTTGTAAGCAATACTCACCATGACTATCATCATTTTAAGCGTTTTGGGGTCATGAATATTATGCACGACCACATGAAATATGAATTAATGATTATGTTCATTTTTTGTGTGTTTATATACATGGTAATTTTTCTAATATTGGTTAATGGGCTTCGATTGACCTAAAAATTGGTGGATCCATCAAATTACGGCTTGTGAACAATACCCACCATGACTAGCATTATTTTTTGGGGTCATGAAATAGTAAGTAGTGATTATATCCATTTTTTTCTGTGTTTATATACATGATGATTTTCTTGAGTTTGGTTGGCGGACTC